TTCCTCTTCTTCTTAGCAGAAGGTTCGATACTCTCGTCTTCGCTAGGAGATGAATCAGCAAAATTCTGATCCAGCCTTACCTTGAGGGCTTCAGCCCTTCTCTCATCTGGTGGCATTTTTCTTGAATATCTGGCTTGATTTGAAAATAGAAATTGTTTCTCCGTTCCAATCTCTCCTGACTCGGGGCTATAGGGCTGCTGCATGACTTTTTACTATGTTTTGCATGCGTCTGGTCAGGGACTCGTCTGTTTGAGTTAAATACWGGTTAACTACGTGTTGTGGCATGCTTGCTGCTATCTCTCCAATTTTCTGTCGTGCTGTCAAGACAAGCTCTTTCCATCCTTTGCTGTTAAGAGTGTTGTAACATTCGAGAACAACACTTTTCTTTCTCTCCAATTCCGACCCGACTTTTCTTGGAGGGAAATAAAATTCGTAATAAACAGCAAACTAAGTATGGTTGAGGGTTGATATCTAAAGTACCAACACAAAAGTTATATGTTTAGATACTGACCTGGCACGTTTGCTGCACAATTCATTTATTAGAAATTCGAAAGTAGTCAGCTGAGTGTAAATATGAATCCTCTTGCTCCGTACACAGCAAGCGCAAAATGTAAATTTATAGCGCACGCGTGATGATTCACGTGCRAATGGCATGAAAAATGCCGTGTTTTATGTTGGAATGCGCATCTTCGCTCAGCAGTTCATGCAGCATGGATGCGCAGCAAGTCCGAGTAGTTCTTTTAAATATAGTCGCCTGGATATTGCTGTTTGTCGCCTTTATTAGGCCCATACCTCAACAAAATCTGTCTCCCTTATAACATCGTCTTTTTGAGAATTTTCACGGGGAAGTATATTTCGTGGTAGAGATGTGTTTTCTCTTATATCAAGGCAAGCGCACCTCTTCTGGCGGAACACTGGTGAAACTCCTGTGTCGTTTCTCAGACTTGCGAACGATATCCTCCCAACCTTGCAGAACTTAAGATCAGACGGGCAACCTCGTGTCCGCCAGAGGAGACTGAAAATAAACGTAGTTAACCAAGTTCTGCTTGTGATGACGTGGTTACGTAAATATTCTCGTATAGACACTTTAGCACTGTGGTTTGATATAGACCCTACGTCCGTTATCCGCATTATTTACAGAACGTTACCAGTAATGTGGAGATATTTTCAAAATCAAATCACCTGGCCAAACCTCGCGGAGTGGAGAAATCTAATGGGCAGCTGGCCAGAGTTACCAAATGCCGTCGGTGCTATAGATGCAACCCCGCMTGAGATTTATTGCCCTCTGGCGGAGCCTCAAAGACCATTTTACAGTGGCCATGGGCACTATCACCGCCTAAACACTCAATTTGTAATGGATAATGAGGGCCATATTCGGTTTCTTTAGGCTGGCTTCTTGGGTAGCACACATGATGCGACTGCTTATAGGTTAATGCGGCCTATAGGGCCCGGTTTAGTCCTAGATTTACCGCCAGGTGTTAAACTGTTGGGCGACAGAGGTTATCCTGATGGAGGAGCTCTACTAATACCTAATCGTGCAGGACAGATGCCTCTGTTAAACCAAAGAGGGAGGAAACGTGCCAGAAAGTTCAACCGAGCTCTATCGAAAAGAAGAGTTAAAATAGAGCATGTGTTTAAAGAGATAAAAACTTTTAAAGCGGTATCTCAGATATGGAGACACCCACGTTGGTTGCAGCCTATCTGTGTTGAATTTACAACATTTTTGGCCGAAAGACGCATACGGTTGTTCCAAAGACTGCACTGAGAACTGCCCATATCCTCTGCACGGTAAAAGTGAAACAAAAGTGTTGATGATAGTGAAAGGAAACTTGAATCGTTGCAGCAAACTTTGGTCTACTCAACAAGCACGTAGTTTAAAATGGGTTGACTTTAATTTGCTTAGTAAATGTTTGAAGGACAAACAACGCCTGTTATGTTGTTATTGTACTGAGCTGAAGTTCGGCACAGATTGTGTTCATTTGAAAATATCTAAAGAGATTATTTAACAAATCG